AGTAGCAGTAGCAGTAGCCGTAGCCGCAGCCGTAGCCGTAGCAGTAGCAGTAGTAGTAGTAGTAGTAGTAGTAGTAGTAGTAGTAGTGATACTAATACTAATACTAATACCAACGACAAGAGTCATAGTTTTAATAGCAGTAATCAGTAATCATAAAAACCAATATTAATAGTGAAGATCGTCCGTGCCCTCGGATCAATTCATAGGGTTAGGTAGCTTTTTCCGCATCGGCTGGCCAGGAGTTCGAGAACTTCTTGCAATCATCGCTGTATCCGAAAGGGACTTATAAGGATTTCGATGAGGGTTCTTATAAGGGTACCATCAGAGATCTATAAAGGGTTTCTATAAGGGTACTATAAGGGTTCTATAGGGCTTTGGGGGGACCTTTTAGGGCGCAGCCTTCAAATGCTCGAGCTCCATGTCCGATGCTTGCTAGACCAGTCTGTGGCCCACATGAAACATGTGATGGCCTGTAGAAACATCTTGGAGGCTTCGACTCAGCCATCAAAATATGCACCGCGCTGCAGAGAGCTGAAGCTACAGAGCAAAGCGGAGCGAAGCAACCCTACATGTGTGTATTATATATATACATATATATATATATACATATATATATATATATATACATATATATATATATACATACATATATATATATATACACATACGTAAATAAATAAATAAGTAAATAAATAAATAAATAAATAAATAAATAAATAAATAAATATATATATATATATATACACACATGCACGCATGATATGTATATATCAGCCTTCTGCTTCAGATTGCTTCTTATAATCCCCGGCCCTAGCAGGCCATCGACGAAACGCTGCCGGAGCTGACAGGCCCGGACGAGGTCGAAGCCGAGAAGCCCGAGGTTCCCCGAGCTTTGATTTGATGAGCTGGCCTGATCGGGCTTTTGTGTGTTTAAGCCTCGAGGCTGTTCTTGCTGCAACCTGCAACTTGCTGCCTGCCCTTTGTCGGCAGCCAGGAGCAGGAGCCGGCATCACCAAAAGCGGCGGCCCGCATCTCATCCTAGCCTCCCGATGCGACAGCAGACCTCAGCCCACGCACCTAAGGCGAAGGCCAAACAGCCAGGATCAGTGTCACCAGCAAGACGAAAATCAGCCAAAGCAGCTGCAGATTCGAAGGCGGTGTGGCACAGGACTGCTGAGAGAGACCTGTTCAAGTCTCTTGGTCAGGCGGGAGACAAAACTGAGGCCGCCCCAGCGAAACGTAAAGCCAAAGAAGCTGCTGGAGAGGGGGAGGCCAAGCGCAGGGATGCCTCCGAAAACTTGAATTTTATCATGATCTTGTGAAGAATAATGGGAGGTAATGGTAGAAACATTACTTGTAACTTGTAGTAATCATGATCTCTACAAAAAAACCCTAAACCCTACCAGGCAGCGTCAGACGCGAAGTCGCCCTCGCCAGCGAAGCGAAAGTCAGCCAAAGTTGCAGATGCGCAGGAGGCCATACACGGTTTAGAGTTGAGGGTTTAGAGTTTAGTCCTTGACTAAATCTCTGTAGCAGCCCTAAAGTAAACCCTAAACCCTAAACCCTAAACCCTAAATCCCTGTAACAGCCCTAAAGTAAACCCGATGCTCCACATTCGAGCCTCTGATGGGAGAGTGCGAGCTTTTCAGGTCGAGACAGATGCAGCGGAGTGCAGGACTCAGAACAGAAGTTCAGCGGGAAGTTTAGGGTTTGGGGTTTAGGGTTCAGGGTTTAGGGTTTAGGGTTTAGGGTTTAGGGTTCAGGGTTTAGGGTTTAGGGTTTGGCAAGAATTTGGATCACTGCCATATTATCAACATGATGTAACATGACTACCAGTATGGCTGGCATTAGTGTTGCTGTCATTGTTGGTATTTGATATTTTTAGTACTACCATGACCAGTATCACTGCTTTTTCCTTGCATACTGCTGGAAGTGCTGCCCTGAGAAGAGTATAAATATGTTTTCGCTCCGTTGCTGTGAGTAAAAGATTATAATCCCTCAACCCAGAACCCTAAACCCAAAACCCTGAACCCTAAACCCTGAACATCCCTGAACCCTAAATCCTGAAACCTAAATCCTAAGCCCTAAGCCCCAAATCCTAAAGCCCAAGCCCGCAACCCCAAGCAGTGAGCTGCTCTGAGGTCGGGGTCAAAGCCCAAGCCAACTTCGAAGGTCGCATGGGCTCTTGGTCTGCCTGGGAGTTGTGACAGAAAAACCTTGGTGTCCAAAGTTTTCGGATCTTTATGGGGTCAGGGCCTGGGTTTATAAAAGGGTTTAAAGTATCGGGGCTCGGGGGACATAGGGTCTGAATTGAAGAGTTGGGTTGAGGGTTGACTGAAGTTTCTGCATCGGTCGCGGCTGGCGTGGTGCGGCAGATCGCAGTTCTGTGTTCAGCGCGAAGGATGCCTTCACCTTGAGGCCACAACTGGCTCAAATTCCTAGGGGGGGGAGGGTAAAGAAATAGCGGCATAAAACTAAGGAGAAGCATCCAGAGCAATAGAACGACATGTCTTCCCAACCGCCACTCAAACTCATTCTTTGACAAGACAAACAGATCTCTTGCTCTCTCAGTGTCTTTATAGCATACGTGCCCTATAAGCCTATAACTGTGTATATGTATTGTATATGTACGTATTTATGTATGTACGTATGTATGTATGCATGTATGTATGTATGTATGTACGTATGTATGTATGTATGTATGTATGTATGTATGTATGTATGTACGTGTATACATGTATGTTTGTCTACAGGTGTGTAAAATACATATACATGTACATGTACATGTGCACGTACATGTACACATACACATTCACACACACACACGCACACACGGACACACACACACACACACACACATATACATATGTATCTATATATATATACATAGACATGCATGTGCGTTTGTATGTATATAAGCATATATCTGTATACATATAAATACTGACACATCCCTATATATATATATAGATATATCAAACAAACATGCATGCATGCATGCATACATACATACATACATACATACATACATACACACATACATACATACCTACATATACATACATACACGCGTATACGCAGATGCACATCTTTGTACGTATCTATCTATCCAGCCAACTAACTACCTACCTTCACCGCACAAAGGGTGAGTCTGAAGCTTTTGATTCCCTCATTGACGTTCCATTGCCTCGTGTGCAATGTCGGGCTGACGCAGCTGGTGTCCCTGACCATGCGCATCTCGAGCGATGAGCACACCTTCCATGACGATGATCTGGACAGCCGGACCCCTCCGGCCAGGCAGATTTCTGGCCATCTGGGGGTTTCCGAAAATAGGGGACCCTAACATAGTACCCTAAATAGTAGGATCCTTATTATAAGGACCCCAAAATATAAGGTACCCTTATTTTCGGAAACTCCCATCTGTTGCTTCTGCCGCCACGGAAGCTGATTTGCAGGCAAGTTCAACCGGCCCAGTTTGAGGGCCGCTGCCTTACGTGTTTTGTGCAGCTCTGCAAGGGCAAAAGCGGCTGAATGCCCAGGCTCCCGAAGCATTGAAGGGAGCCCTTCCCATGGAGAAAGAGGCGAGGGCAGTGGCAGCGGTGGAGAGGCTGCAGAGGCCGAGCCTGCTGAGAAGGCCTTGGGGCATTGGGCACTTCGACCTTTTGGGGGAGTCTTTAAAGCAGCTCCGGATCTCTTTTGCCTCTAGGAGCCCTTGTCGCAGCAAGAGCAGGAGGAGGAGGCGCGCTACTTGTCTCGAAGACTCGGTCGCGCCCGAGTGGCGTCTTTTCACTCTTTGCCAGGGCGTCTTCGAGATCCGAGACTTCACCAACGCGTCCGCCTTCGAGCGCCTGTCGCAGTGAGCTGAGCCGGGCGGAGAAACCCTAAACCCTAAAACCCTAAAACCCTAAACCCTTAACCCTTAACCCTAGACCCTAAACCCTTAAGCCCAACCCCTTAACCCTAGACCCTGCACGACAGCGGCTCCGAGGCACCAGATCTCCCTGGCGGCGAAGCGCTGGGCCGCGGCTCTCCAGGAGGCACAGATGCAGGCCAGGGGAGTTCTGAGATAATATGGGCGACACTCCGATGAAGCAAGGCTTCTCTCCGGGATTGCCTGCTTGTTGGTGAGGCAGGAAGCAGCGAGGATGTGCTGCAGATGAAGGAGAGCTTCGAACATGCCAACTTTCGGTGGCCCCCTCACTTCTGAGCCTCCTTACATGTCACTTTCAGTGCCAGCTGACCCTGGCTCAGAGGTATGAGCTGTTCTTCCACCTGGCCCCTCTGGGAGCTGCAGAGAAGAAGGAGAATTCTGTACACCTGCAGCTGCTGATAGTTTGGACTCCCGCCGACTGTCTCCGCATGTCGGGTCGTGGCAGGATCGCCTGGGACTTCACGCGTTTCCGACACGAGCCCACCGAGTGCAGAGGTGGTTCGGGGTGAGGCATCTCGCATTTTGAGTTGCAGTGGCCTTCGCGGAACCATGAAGAGCAAAGAACGCAGGCACTTCGTCTTCGTTTCACTCCACAATCACAACATCGACATCGACAGTGCCAGGACCGCTTCGAAGTGCGCAGCTTTAAGGACTGAGCCGACCCTAAACCCTAAACCTTAAACCCAAAACCCTAAACCCTAAACCCTAAACCCTAAGAGGACCATGTTGGGTGCCGCGGCCCTCGCAGTCCGAAGTGCAAGCTTCCTGGTGCCTCTGAGCTGCTTCGTTCCAATTGACGGAGGCCTTCTGCGCTGGTAGCTGCAAGAACCTGTAAGATGATAGAATCAGCGGTTTAGGGTTTGGGGTTTAGGGTTAATTTTGATTGTAACCATAGCAATACAAACGAGAATCAGATCATACCATGAATGGTCATGTGAAGGTAATAGTAATACACTGGTGCTGGTACGAGTACTAGTACTATTAGTTGCAATACCAACAGCAATAGCAATAGCACTAGCACTAGCAATAGCAAGAGCACGAGCAATCGCAACGGCAACGGCCACAGTACTGTAGCAGTAATAGTGGTAGTAGTAATAGCAATAGCAACAGCAACAGGAGTAGTAATAGTAGTAATAGTAATAGTGATGTTACAGTAATTGCAATCGTAACAGCAAATTAACAGTATTAGTAATAGTAAGAGCAGTTTTCGTAGTAGTAATAAGAACACGAGTAGTAGAAATAATATCAGCAACAATAACAGTATTTAGGAATAGCAGTAGGTGTATATTTGTTACTAGTAACGATCAAAAATGATAGCATAATCATCACAGGAACAGCAGCGCCAACACCACCCCTTACATCGACTCTACCAATAATAATGTTACGAGCATTGATATTCAATACTCATAGGAACATAATAGAAATATTGATGCTGAGATCGAGAATGATAATGACAGTGAGAATGAAGGTAATAACTATGATGTTTAGACAAGACTGCTGCTAATGATGATGATCATTACCGATAGCAAGATTAAAGTTAAACTCATCACGATAATCGTATAAAGCGTAACAATCATAGTACCCAGAACTATCATAACAGTCATAACACTCGCACTTGTACATTGTGGATATGATCAAGAAGTAGTAGAAGCGATAGTCATAAAAAAACCACTATGCAGAGGGCAATCTGTTCTTCAGGCCGGCGGCGTGTCTTGGGCGAGTTGCTCGACAGCAGATGCCGTGTCGTCTATACGACCGACCTCCAGCACACTGTCAGCGGTTCTTTCGACAACCTTTCGGGACTGGCTGACTTCTTTTGGCAGAAGTTAGAAGCGAACCCAGAGGATCCATTGAACAGTCTCATGGTCGGGGCACGTTTCACGTACTCGGCAGACACCTTCGATGCACTGCCCAGTGCGACCAGTGCACGGCGCGGAGAGGATCCAGTCGAGTCCTGCAAGTTGCACTGTCTTTGGCCGTCCTTTCCCTTCGGGGCCTTCGGCGACGACTCCAACTTCTCAGAGCTGGATGCCCGGGTTGCTCCTTTCTGGAAGCTCCGTGTGCTTCGGAAGGATTCCACGTCCCTGCCCCTAACCGGCAGGTTGCGGTCGCTACTGGATTTCCGAAAGGAAGCACTAACTGTCCGTTCCGCAGAACATAGCCTGCAGCCAGCCGTGCCGAAGACTGCCATGGCTTCCCTCACGGCTACCATCCAGGAGTCCTTAGAATCCATCTTGCTTCCGACAGCCGGTGAGATGCTAGAAATGGTGGAGAGCTGCATGAGCTGCCCGATCTATCCTTCTTTCCAAGAGAATCTTGGAACGTCGGATCCTCTTCGGGCAGTGCAAGGAGCCCGGCCAGGCGACCGCCTATCACGCTTGGCAGAGCTGAGCTCGAGCATGCGGTGCTTCAAGGGAAGTGTGATGCTCTGGTGCGGCATTCTGGCGCGCATGCGGAGTCAGTGGGATGCCTTAGAAGCCCCATTATCCCCCGAAGCGCCCACGCACAGAGTCAATGCCCGGGGCACGCGCACGGAATTCTTCGACCGAAGCGTTTGCCTGGTTCAGCAGAAGATGGAGCTTCTCGAGCGAAGTATCGTTGAGCAGCAGAGGTATCTGCGAGGCGCCTCACAGCCCGAAGCTTTCTACCTTGCAGCCAATGGGGAGCAGCGGCGTGCGCCGGAGCTTCTGCCACCCCCTTTGCTGACCGAGGATGCAAACCCTGAACCCCGCCCTAAAACTGAAGTCTTATTATATCATACTCTGTTTCAATATAATATATCATATCATGGTTTCGAGTTCTACTATATTCGATCATACCGCGTTATGTTGTACTTATTCTCCCGCTGTTTCCATGGTTCCCTGAAGAGGATGTGCTATTACAGCGGGACACGGCCTCCGCCAGCCTGGATTCTGTGGAGCGGGCCGAGCTCTGTGGCAAGGAGATGCGCAGCGACATGGCGGCCTTCAAGTACCGGCAAAGCGAGGCTCTAAGGGCTTTAGGAGGGACCCTTAATAGGTATATGGGTGGTTGTCAAAATTATGGTCCCTTTTTGGGTCCTTATTATCATACGGCACCTAGTATTTAGGGTACCCCAAGAGGGACCATAATTTTGACAACTACCCATATACGGACTATACAATGGTTGTTTAAGGTAATGGGATTAAGGGTCCCTATTAGGGGTCCCTCCTAAAGTCCTTAGAGAGGCCACTCCGAGCTTCTCAGACTTCGTCTACTGGCGCCGCTCGCCCGAGTTGGCGTCAATCTGCGAAGCGAGGGATTGACCATAGATGAGAGCAGCGGAGAACGCCGCTGCTGGTGATTACTGATGATGTACATGATATGGTTGAGTGATGACACTGAAGGTGATGCTGACAACAACCATTCTGCACTCAAGATGCTTTGACATAGCTTTACGTATGCTGCAGGACCGTATTGACTGCTGTTTCGTCAGACCAAGCTTCTCAGGCCAGTCGGTGCTGGGTTTGAGCATGGATCCGTTCCCCGAGGACCAGATTGGCTTGTGATTCCGTGCCTTTCGGCTTCGTGTTCAATCCCTTTCCTGCAGAATCGGTGTTAAAGATCCTCAAGTCAAAACTCGTGCAGGACTGGCTTCAGCAGCTTTGGGACGAGACGGAACCGAAGCGGCGCTCTAAGCATGAAAGTTGAGAGGACGGCTGCTTCTTCTTCGAGGCTTTTCGAATCAAGTTTCGTATCAGATTATCACGAGCAGGAAGGTGCGGAAGGTGTCTCACTGACCTCAACCTGGATAACCCCGACCCACCCCGTGTACCAGTAGTGCGTTCCACCGCCGACTGGACCTCGGCGATGCAGAGTCAATGCCCAGGTCGGCTTCCCATCAGCAGGCCACTGTCGCTGTGTTGTAATGTTGCTGCTCCTGCTAGGTACTACTACTACTTCTTCTACTACTACTACTACTAATTACTACTACTACTACTACTACTACTACTGCTACTACTACTGCTAACAGCTGCTAACAACAACCACGACGACTACCACCACTACTGCCACTACTACTCCTACTCCTACTCCTACTCCTACTACTACTTCTACTACTACTACTACTACTACTACTACTACTGCTACTACTGCTGCTACTACTACTACTACTACCACCACCACCACCACTACGGCCACTACCTCAGCTACTACAGCAACAATGTTAG